TTACATTATCTGGTCCATTTAGGAAGCTTATTTGATCTTTTCTCTTTATTTATTGAGATATACATACAAACTATATATATAAGAATAAAATTTCATATAAGATTCAATATTTTTACAAATCATTTTACTAAATTCATTTTTATTTAAGAATTATACACATTAATCTCACGCAACCACAAGTTTTATAGGTAGTAATTATTACAAAATTTAAACGTTTGGAATTTTTTTTTTTTTTAAAAAAATTCTTTTTAGAGTTTTATTTCATAGGGCATCTCCAAGACTATTTATATCCTGCACCAGGACGCGTATTGCATTGTGCGTCTTGACGCAAAACGACATCGTTTCAGATTTTTTTTTAAAAAAATAAAAATTGCTACCTTGTGTTGGCGGTTAATTTTCTTTAAAAAAAAAATTCAAGTTCAAAAATATACATAATTTTATACTAGAATAGACATAATTGTATACATGAAAATACACATACTTTAAAAAAAAAAGATAATACATATAATCTAACATAATACATAAACTTTTAACATAATAAACATCAACTCTTAACATAATACACATAAATTTTCTGTTTCGGATGTACATAATTGTATAAAAAAAATGTACATGATTGTATAAAAAATGTACATAATTGTATAAACAAATACATATAATTGTATAAACAAATAGACATAATCGCGTCAACTCCCTACATAACTTATCAAAACGACGACGTTTTGGGAGGCGCGAGGCTCACAATGCTACGCGCGTCGTGGTGCAGGGTATAACGACTGCATCTCCAATTGTAGTTTTTACGCTTTAGTGTGATTTTAAAAAAAAAAAAACTTCGTTTATGTGGAGGAGAAAGAGTGGGAAGAGAAAAGATTTGGATGCACATTGCAAGCACTTGATTTTTGACAGTAAAATAGACCTCACCACAGTGCAACAACAACTCTATTTTAATGTGTGAGATGCAACACAACGCCCAACTGAACGTGTGCACTACACACCTACAAAAACTACTCTTTCGTTTTTCACATTTATTTGACTTCTTTTTCCTTTCTCTCTCATTTTTTTCTTTCTTAGTTACACCTACAAAAACTACTCAAAATTAGAAATCTTCTTTATTAAAAAAAAAAAAAAAAAAAAAAAAAAAAAAAAAAACTAAAATACTAAAATCCACAACTTTCTCATAAGCACTCCACCACGCAAAGGACTGAGCGCGTGAAGCTTCTGACGGGACTCCCGAACAACGCACAAAACGGCGCCGACTCAATTCCCGACGATTTTAAAATTTTGAAATTCCAAAAAGCACCCCGGCGAGCGAACAGTACGACGCCACGTCAGCAGGCACCCCACATATATATAAACTCCACCACCCACTCAAAGTTGATGTCTTTCCCTTTCTCGGGTCATTCACGAGTCCTCCTTTCAGCTGCCTCAAAGCAGCCTCCAAAGGCTGCTTCCTCGTCTTCTTCTCTCATATTCATCGCCGACCCCTACTAGGGTTTCCAGATTCATCTTATTCATCTTCTCTGCGCCGCCTTTCTGCTCTTGATCGAGACCACCTGCTCGTTATCCGGTAATTCCTGCGATTGGAAACGCCGATTTTCCCCTTTCGTGATTGTCTGATCTTGATTTGTTCTTTGCTTGCTAATCTTTGGAGTCCTGGAGCTCTACTTTGCATCGATTTTTGGTATTTTTTGTTTTTAAAAGTAAGATGTGGAGTTAGGGTTTTTAGCTGATATGGATTGACCTTTGGGTGTTGCGGATTTGGGGGCTCGTGGATGGAATTTGGGGGGTTGGAGCTGATTTACTGAAATCAATGATGTTGAATCTGAAATAGCTTTGGCCTGATTTGGATTTTGCAAAGTTAGGTTTTCTTATTTTCTTTTAGGCTCCATGCTCGGTTTCACAGTTCATGAATAATTGAATCTTAATGTATGCTTGGATTGAGTTTTAAACGTTAGTGATTTTTAGCTCCATGTTTTTGAGTTGAAGTTTGTGATAATTGTATCTATATGTATGCTTGGATTGATGTTTTTCTTTAGGATTATGGAGTTAGATTTTGTAGATTTATGTTTGGTTTCATTTCTGTGAATTGAACTTTGTGAAAAAAGTTATTGAATTGATAAACCAGTAAATATCACTATGGATAGTTGGCAACTTTAACTTTCGTGCTATAGGCTGGGTTCTTTCCATTGCAAGTGAAGCTTTCTTGTGGTCAATGCCTTAATTGCACATTGTTTATTGAACACTAACATAGGTTTCTATACTGTATCAAAATATTGTGTTGGGAATTTATTTATAACAGTAGGCCATTAAGATTGAATTCTGCATTACAATCTTGCAAATAGTAATCTTTGTTCATGCATTTGTTTGACGGGGCTCATGAAAAATCTTAGGGTGGGGGTAGGTTTCTGACTTACTGTTCTTCCACTCATGTATATGAGGCTAGTTTAGTAGATTTTGATGACATTTTGTCTGGCGGGGTTTCATATGCATGGTAAAAATATTTTCTCCTGTTGCTATAGGTTAACATGCGTTTGAAAAAATGCATTTGCATCTGTAATTATTATTCACAGCATGTTTTCTATGTTGCAGTTGTTTGTGATCTTAATCTAAGTATGCCTAAGGAGAGAAGAGATAGATCTGTTTCCTCAGATAGGACTAGAGCATTTCCATACCCATGTAGCTCAAGTCGCTCAAGGCATTCATTGCCATTAGATCATCTAGAAAGTGATAAAAATGTAAAAGAATGGGAAGACGCAAGATGCCCAGTCTGTATGGAGCATCCTCACAATGCCATTCTTCTTGTGTGTTCATCTCATGATAAAGGCTGCCGCCCTTATATGTGTGACACAAGCTACAGGCATTCCAATTGTTTTGACCAGTTTCGTAAATCATTTGAGGAGGCTTCACAAACACCTATTCAGCAAGAGGAGGTGGTTCCAGTGTCAACCTCTCCCGTTGCATCTGCCCCTGTGACATCAGAAACAACACTGCAGGGGGAAATAAGTGAAAGTTCAACTCCCATGCATGATGTGCTTTGTGATAATCATGAAAAGAAAAATATGGTATGCCCTCTTTGCAGAGGGCAGGTCAATGGGTGGATGGTTAATGAATCTGCACGTCATTTCATGAATGCAAAACTAAGAAGCTGCTCTTGCGAGACTTGTGAGTTCAATGGTACATATACAGACTTAAGGAAGCATGCAAGATCTGTTCACCCATTAGTACGGCCAACAGAGGCTGACCCTGAAAGGCAGCGTAACTGGAGGAGGTTGGAGCGACAGAGAGATTTAGGAGATTTGCTGAGTACACTGCATTCTTCTCTTGGAGAAGAGGAAAGTGAAGGCAGCACCTTAACCTTTGATGATGGGGGCTTGCTAACAGTTTTCCTCTTTGTTCGAATTCTCCAACCTAGGAGCAGTCCTAGGAGCAGCAGCTGGTCTGGTTCATCAAGAGCGCGGGGTCAGGTGACTTTTAGGAGACGACCTTCAAGGAGACTTTGGGGTGAGACCTACGATGGGGAAATTGAGTCCAGAGATGATGATAATGAAGATTCTGATGCTGGAACTGCTGCCAGGAGGCATCAAGACAGAATGAGCCGGCAACCAACACCAGAAAACTAGTGTTGCTAGCAAACACGGGTTTGTCTGATGGTTTCGTTGAATATTTATGCTGTAGGTATTCTTTTTAACTAATTATAAACTAGTATTGCCAGCAAACTTGGCTTTGCTCGGTGTCATTGAATATTTAAGCCGTAGGTACCATTCTTTTTTAACTAAGTACACTGTTCCCTTCTACTCCTCCATCCCTTTAGGCTCTAACACGAACTTGTTCTTCCCCTTGCAGGCGGATAAAAACAGGAAAAAGCTAATTCCATTTCTACTCCAGCAGTCCTGCTGAGACCCAAGAGTAGAATAGCGGATTCCTGGTGTTGCAGATTTGGTTTGTAGTGAACCAGAAAGATAATTTATTTTCATTTGTATTTGTACATCTTTTCTTGTAATCTTTCTCTCAAAGTTTCAACCACCTGGTGCTACTAATGTTGAACATTTCCATTTGAATCGATAAATGTGAAAGCAATGTCTTGTTTTGCTTTCAAACAGTACAGAGATATAAACTATGTTTCCTGTCTCAGTCAAAGTTCTCTTCACTAGTGCACACCATTTCTGAGTTTTAGTGATCTAGTGATATCCAGTATTCTTAGATACAGGAGAGCTGAAAAGAGAAAAAATTATTAAAAGAATAACTGAAATCTTCATTGCTTTTTTTTTTCCTCTAAGTTCATCAAGTATTGTATCTCAATAATCTAATTATTGGTAAGCATATTGTTAATACAATTCTTTTTGTTTTTATTTTTTCTCAATGGAATATGAGTTCTCAACTTATCACTGAAAGCAAAATTGAACGTTAATTCTATTATTGAAAGCAAAACTAAATGTTAATTGGTCAATCACTTGAGGCTTTAGCTATCCATTTTTGTTTTTCATTCACTATAAAACATCATTTGAAGAGAGATCATGTTAATTTGTCCCAAAATTATTGCATTCAACTCTATACCAATCCTCTAGATTTATAAAGTATAAAGTTGACTGTTATAATCATTCATATTTATTAAGTTAAGTAAATTAACACACATTCAAAAAGTAAAGTAACACAATTACAAGTTACTCAGATAAAACATATTGTATAAGATTTGATACAACATTAAACTTGAATGGGTGTCCAACAATTAAATTGAATAAAGGCCAAACCCCTTGTGCTCAATTGGCATTTCTGTGACACTCTTTGAGGTAAGGTCACAGGATCGAACCCTAATGATGGGGTATTGAGTCTTTGGGCTACAATTGATAATGTATATTGAACAAATACTACACTGTAATAGAGCCAATAGTATTGAAAAAAAAAAATTGAATACAGATACAATTAGAAAAATGGGGAAAAAAAATAAGCAATTCACTTGGTAGGGCCCATGGATGCATCTTCACATGCCTGATTGTCTCTCATTAATAGTACAACAAACTAAGATGTATCGTATAATAATTCTCGGGGTATAGTAATGAGCCTGTTTAATTCCATGTGCATAATCATTGGATTGCTATTAGCATAATCTTGTCGAAATCATTAAAAAAAAAAATTTCTTGCAGACCGCAACGGTCCATCAAGAAAACGTTCATCTCTGCATCAACAATGAATCTAAACTTTCGAGTAACAATTCTGGAGTTGGGGTGGGGAAAAGAATGAAACAATAGCGGGAAGAGTTGGGTGAAGGAATATTGTACCGCTACCTCTGGAGCTTTCCTGCAGAGTGTAAATACACCGAGACAGATACAACACTGCACACGTACAGAAGTTGGAGCACGTTAGTTATGACGAGAGTCGAGAGGCACATAAACTACATACCGAAGGGTCAAAGATGACATGGCATTTCGTAGGACTTACGTTGATCCAAGAAAGAACGCGAGAGAAAGATGAAATCCGAAAAGGAACACAGATACAACAGCTGTTAGCAGCATTGCAACAGATGTAGCATACACCTACACAGATCAGAGTAAAGATAAATTTCCTGATAACTTCCGATGCTTATACCAATGGACCCTTGATACAGATTCATTTTTAGTATACTGCAGGTTCATTTCAAATATAATACATGTTCATTTCGACTTCATACAGGTTCATTTTTATATGTTGAATATTAGGAAAGTTGTCTTAGTTTCCTATTCTTATTAGTAGTTTCCTAGACTAATTTAGTATCTAGTTTAGTATATATAGAGGTCCATTGAAGTATACAATATATAGAGAGACAATCTATTGTACTCTTTCATTACAATATATTCTCTTGTTCTTTGGTTCTCACATATTTTGCTTCCGCCTAACTGGCGGGTGATGGTTATTCTCCACCCGCCAGACCCATCAATCCCTCAATTTCAACATTATATTAAAATAAATGCGCAGTCAGACAGAAAAATGCTCATCTTTACCTTCACAATATTGTCTGCGTACTTCATTACCATTGATACAGCTATACCACTGTACACAATAACATGTCAATTAGCAACCAAAAAAATACTAATAATAAAACAAAAACAAACAAACAAACAAAATTGGGGCAGTGAAAAAAGCGGCAAAATATTGTGTGGACCATGGTCCACCGTCCACATAGTGTTGTGTGGACCATAACAAAAAGTACATTTTTAATATACTAAAAGTACATTATTCGTGTACTGAATGTACATTATACAAAATAATGTACTTTCAATACTCAAATAATGTACTTTACCTGAATATAATGTACATTTTTAATATACTAAAAAATACATTATTTGTGTACAGAATGTACATTATTTGATAGTATGGTCCACACAGCTGTGTGAACCATGGTCCACACAATAATGATTGAGTGAAAGCGGGGACAGGTGGCACTGGAGATTCACTTATTTTTGACACGTAAAAATATAACAGAAAGTCGTGCATATCATTGTTAACCCAAATCGAAATATGTCCCTTTCAGGTAATTACCCACATTATTAACTAAGATCACCAAGATAAATAATACAAAGTACCTTAGTGCATGGTTGAGAATCATGAGAACTGTAATCAATGAATATCCATGAAAGAAACCCCTGTAGATAATAACTATTAACAGTCGAACTATATGGGACATCATGAAATTAAATATTGCAATTTTAAGGAAGAAGGCGTTCCATAGAAGATGTTTTTGAATTATATAGTTGAAAATGGCATCAGAAAACTACTTAAAAGACATACTAACACTTGTATCAACAACAGCACTAATCAAGTCCTTCCTGCTCCAGGCATTAATAGTTGGACACTTAGACTAAAATAAAGTCGAGGGATAGTTACCAACTTAAGAACTCCTTATCCATATATAGTCTCCAAATTAAGTACATTGTGTCACTGCCCTATGGTTTTAGCCCGTGATTCCATTCTGACCTTATATTAAAGATTAAAAAGGCATGTGAAATCAAACAAAATATTGGGAGGACATTCCTTGGTCTAAGTTTTTCATCAATTTCTGGCAGTCCACTTTAAGTCCTTTTTTATTAGAACATCCACTTTTGGTCCTAGTATTATTGTGGCATGACCATTTTTGGTCCTTTATCAACAAAACGGTTTAAATATCGTTAAATACAAGGGCATTTTGGTCTTCAATTATGAATTTTTTCAAATAAATAAATAAATATAAAAAAATATAGCGGTTCAACCTACTTTGTATAAAAAATATTGAAATGTCTTTGTATTTAACGACATTTCAACGATTTTGTTGATGGATGACAAAAAATGGTCATGCCACAATAATACTAGGACCAAATAAGGATGTTCTTTTTAGTTTTTACCAACGTTCTCTTGGCACGACATGTAGGTGCAAAAGGAAACTAGGAAAGGAAACAAATTCAAATAAAAATCTTTTGTAGTTGTCTAGGGAATATTAGGATTTCTCACCAAGGCTAACAATTATTATGACTAGTATGGGATATAGTGAACTGCTCAGACTTCTGAGATCACATAGCAAATTAGAAAAAATCCTAGTAGATAGAGGGGTGCAGAACTTAATTTCAATTCTTCAATAGTTAACGTCTTTTTCTAGTCCTTTAATGAATACTTTTAGAAAAGTGAAAATTAAAATTGGAAAACAGAAATACGGCCAAAAGTAACCTTGCTTTTAGGTCCTAGGATTCTATGGAATTGGAATACCTAGTGATCCTAGTCATCTATTCCATAGATTGTTAAATATAAAAAACGTGAGCAAAGATGAAACCCATATAGGTAGGAGGAAAGAATAGGCATTTGGGAAGGTAAATTTACTTGTTCACGACTTGATCAAAATCTTGAATGACTATTGCAATGGCATTGAAGATCATCCCAAAGACATATAGCCAGAAGTTTTGAACATTAATATTCCTTGAGGGACGTTTCTTTATTATGGCCTGCACAAAGAAAGAAAATAATAAATAGTAAAATAAATCAAAATAAAGAAGTAAGTTGATTGGCAAGTTTTATTTCTAAATTATATGCTTTTCTTTGCAAGTGCAGTAAGGGCTAACTACATTGGTCGTATAACTCACACTTGGGTCCGTTTGGAAAGCAGGAAAATGACTTCTGGAAAATGTTTTCTAGAAAATGAGTCATTTTTCAGAAAACATTTTCCTTTCGAGTGTTTGGTTGCATTTTGGAAAACTTGGTGTGTTTAGTTTATTTTATGGAAAAATGAGTAGAATTGTATGTTTAAACATTTTGGCGGAAAATGACTTCCCCCAAATTTTGGCGGAAGTCATTTTCCACCAAAATGGCTTCATTTTCCCCAGTCAACGGAAAACATTTTCCGTTGACTGGATCTTCCTGTTGCATCCAAACACTGAAAACTCGGAAAACATTTTCCAGAAGTCATTTTCCGAGTTTCCAAACGCACCCACTAAAACAGGCACAAATGCACAATAACTTTGGAGCAATAATGATGGAGAAAATACCCAATTACCCGTACATTCGAATAATTTCTCTGCTCATGATGACATATTTGAAGTATCCTTAGAACCAAATGTTTAAAACAATATATAATGCTAAAAAAGTATACCTCTGTATAAACTCCAGCAAAACCACTCAGAAGGGCCATGATCTGAAAAGGTGATCCAGAAGGTTATAAAAAGTATCATTAAATTAGGAAACTCAATTTCTCCAACTTATATGATTATATTATGTCTTATGTCTTGAAACTTTAGCAACTTACAATAGCCATAATCCAACCTTGAAAAGGAGTCTGGAGAACATGATCAGAACTGCATGTAGAATGTAATTCAGTTAGGATTATGCATAGTGTGAGCTATAACGAAAGTCAGTAAAGCCATATCAGTAATTTAAAAATAAAAAACTTTTCCTTCTTTGAAACAGCAATACTAAATAGTATTCACATTTGTCTATAGTGGCAAACCTCACCTAGGATTAAGTTGTGCAGTGGTGCATCCTGCACAAAGTAAAACGAAGGCTGCCCATTGAATCTCGCTTAACCTGTATGAAAAAGTGAGTAAAATACCACATAGATATACTCGGTAGTCTAAAGAATTTGAGTCATACATAACAATCTTTAAGAAAAGTGTCGTTTATAAAACCACAAAACAATTAAGTGAAGCACATAGAAAGAAAAATCAAAAATGATTTCTTATAATCTTATATACACAATTTCAGTGAACCATAAGACAGTAATAATGCCTGTTAAAAGCATGTTAGAGAGGTCGGGAGTTCGAACCCCCTCTCTTATGGAAAAACCAATCTGACCAGCACTTTGCCCCTTAATTGGGCCGGCCCGGTGCAAATGGGGATTAGTCTGAGCATGGTACGGGCTTAAAGGTGCCTCCTACAGTTAGGGCCTGCTCAGGACACCTCATGGTCTGAACAAAAAAATGGAGAGAATCTTGTCTCTTACAGCCTTAAGTAATGAGGGGCTGAAACTAAAAATTTATTTTAATTTTTAAGTAAGCGCCATGAAAAGCACCAAGGGGCTACCAGCCTACCATCCAGTTTGCAAAGAATATGCAGCAAAGAATCAAATAGCACATGAAACAGAATTATTATTCCAGTAAGTGGTGAAAGGGCTTACTTCCTTTTAAGAATAATTCGGTACAAAATACCAGTGCTGATAATGTTCAAGTTCTTTAGTATCTGATATCCAGGAGCATCCACATATGCAAATATGTAATACTGTGACACACCAACAATTTTAATCAGAAATTATACAACAGAAATCAAAATGTTGGAATAATAATAAAAATATTTATTACAGAAAATTTCAAAACCAACCTGCAGTAAATTCTTGACGAGGTACAGTGCAGCGGGAATTGGAAAAACACTAACTTCATCATATGTGGTGCTTAACCTAAATATAGCAACCGAAAAAATAACAAAGAGAAGTGTTTAATCTCAAACAAAATTGGAAAATGGATTGTATAGAAGATTTAATAATAAAAATTCATATTTGTAAATATTTTGGCTAGGTGTAAGAACCAATAAGTAGTCAACTAAGGAAATCTTCCAATATTTAAACCAACAACTTTGGGAGCAAATAACCATCAAGTCATTTAACGAAAAGAATCAAACTTGCTTTCATAATAACCATCAACCATTAGAAATGTAAGTTTTGACAGCAACAATTTACATGAACAAAAGAACCAGAAAGCTATCCAAAGCTTTATGCCTGGAATGTCATACTAATTGCTGATCATCTGTCAGTTGAGTTTAACATACTCTGAGCTCTGAAGGGTGGCAAAATATATTTTCTCCAAACTATTCTGTTTAATATGCTTTCAAGTAAAATCATATTTTTACATATACATGTCCATCAAAAACCTTTTATCCTGCTAAAGTGTCCAAATATGACTCTCTGCTTTTTCTAACTTCTTATTCAAATTAATTATGTTTCACAGAAATCATGGGAAAGAAACTCTTCAATGCAGAAATTTACAACTGAACAATCATAAAACACAAAAGGCAAATATAAATAATGTGAGACTTTGCCGAAAACATAAATACGTGAAAATATAAATAACACCAACTATGCAGTTCTGAGTTTTTATTTTATTTTTTCAACAAAGAAAAGTCAAATTAAAGAAAAACACCAGTGTAAAACGAAAAAAGAAAAGTATATAAAAAATTAGCAGTGTGTATGCAGTGAGGTTTGTTTGCTCATTCAGCAAATGCTGTGTAAACGAGTTAGTAAAGAATATTTTAAAATAATAAATAAAAATATGAATATAAAAACCTGTTATCATCAGTGACACCATCTTTTCTCCAGATTCTCATTAAAGCTACAAGTGATAGTGCACACTTCAAAGCCTCTACCTAATCAAAAAGAAAGAAGGAGGTCAAGCCTAACATATATTTCACAACAACCATCCATCATCAGAGTTCCGAACTCCATAATCCACAACTAGCACAAAGGTGAAAGGTTCACTAACCAAAAAATTTGCAGTTGTAACACTGTACTCATACTTCCCTGCTCTCTTCGACCAGACAATGAGTATTGCTTGAGAACTTGTCAGCACAGTCAATGCAAGTGTGACTATTGACCTAATTCAACAAAAATGGAAACAAACAGTGTATTGCACCAAATAGTTTAGGGAAAGTATGCTCAGAAAAAAGGAACAAAGCTCTATTTCTTACTTGCGCTTCCACTTAGATCGGTCACCTGAGCCGGCCCCCAATATGGCCACATTATTAATGGAACCTGCAAAATCAAGACCAAATACTAACATTGAGCCAAATAATCAACAAGAAGAGATTAATCACCCTCACGGAGGACTTGCCATGACATCCAATTATTAATTATTAACATAAAAATATGCCCAACCTGAAACAGCTTTCCCGTGTGAGCTCTCAATATCATCATCAACTGCCTCATTTTTGTCCTAGCAGAGTTGTGCATGGAAATGGGAAAAATTAATTATGATAATGAGTACTTCCACTTTAGGTTTCTTATAAATCATAGGAGTAATTAACTAAGTGAGATTAATTGTTGAACTTCTAAATAAAATAAATAAAAAGTGGAACGAATAATCAGTGAAAAAAAAACAAAAATTCTAGCAGCAAAAATTGAGGGATAGAAATCAGGAAAAGAATTGAAATGAGTTGAAAACAGAAGAAGAAAAAAAATATTTAACCTGATCTTTAATTCTCCTGTACTCCATTGATGAATGCTGGAAAAATCTTCAAACGTCTCACTCTTTTTTAACCAACTAGTCGAAAGCATGCACTGTGCACAAATGCATTCAAATTCACAATTACACTATCGGAGGTGAATGGGGGAAAACATATAAGAGATGCAGGGGAAATAACGGGAAGAAGAACCAAAAAAGATTTAGCTAGGTCCATATTCTAGTATCATAACACAATTCTGTCAGATCTCGCTGTCAATTGAGAAAGCAATTAGGCAATATCCTTGAAATTCTTAGAAGGGGGCAAAATACCCTGAATTTGAACTCACAACCTTCAAGAATCAATTTTTAACCAAGAATTCAAATACCCATACACAAATGAAGAAATGAAGAAGAGAAATCCGAAATGCAGAGAGTCACAAATAAATTTTGACAAATCTAATAAGAAACTTCCATACAATGTTCAGGATTTATGGAACTTAGGAATTTAGGGTTAAGGATTTGATCATTCGAACCGAACCTGGGGAGTTGCTGCTTCACGACGGCCGACTCATTAGTAAGGCGCTGCTACTGCTTGGTGAAGAATGAAGAGTGGAGTTTGCTTGCAGATTGCTGAAACAAGTATTAAACAATTTATCCACAATCTATTAAATTGAATTATATATTTATATTCTTTCATTTGTACCTTTTTTTTTTTTTTTTTTTTAATCACTATCTAATAGTGAGTATTAAGATTGTTTACTTTATAAAGAATAATATTTAAATGAAATAAGAGTCAAATAAGTAATCGAATTATATGTAAAATGGCAATTAGATCATTCAAACTAAAAAACTTAATTTTTAAAAAATTAATCGTCACGCCAACCTACAATCCAAGGACAAATTATATCGTGCACCGCGGTGCATAATTGATTATGCACCGCGCATCAAAACGACGTTGTTTTGTTAAATGAAAATAAACGGCATTCGTTTTTCGCTGTTCCGCACCCTTCCGCAAAAAGTAACTCTGTTATTCAGTTTCATTTCGTATACACTGCAGTTTCAGTTGAACACAACTACAGTTTCATTTTGATATAACTACAATTTTATTCGATATTTATAGACTCAAATATGTGAAAATGTTATTTAATTTTATTTTATATACACTATAGTTTTATTAAAACACAACTACATGATCATTTTGATATAATTACAGCTTCATTATACAACATACACTCAAATATGTGAAATGTTATTCAGTTTCATTTTATATACACTGCAGTTTCATTTCACCACAACTACAGTATCATTTTGATATAACTGCAGTGTCGGTTTAGATATATTGTAATGTCAGTTGGTGTTTAATACACCAAACAAGTGGACTCCGTTAACGGTAACGGCGGGCCGTTTCTTTACTTAAAGAAACGGCGCCGTTTTTTACCGCGGTGCATGTGCACCGCGATCTATGATATAACGACTGCAATCCAAGAGTACAAGTCATTTTCAGTTTAATTGCACAATTGTGGATTATTCAAGCACTCCAATTTTAATTGCACAATTGTGGATTATTCAAGCACTCCAATTGCATTTTCAAGTGTAATTCGTTGCTTATTTAACCATTTTTTCTATTTAAATTCTTTTATAGTTTTCCTTCCATCGTATGAAATATTTTTTTTCCGTTTCAAAATATATTGTATTTATAGTAAAAGAGGGGTCGTAAAACTTGTCATGCCCACAAAAGGCGAAATTCCTCACCCCCAGAACTCCCACACCCCGACTTCTTAGGATTGTAGAAAATGTTTATAAAACTTATTTTGATTGGTTGATAGTAATGATTATATACCATTTTTTTTATTGGATAGAGTTTTTAAAATTTTTTGAGAAGATCAAAATATTATTTATTATTTTGAAAATAAAATATTATTTATTTAATCATAATATGATTGATGAATATATTATACTTGCCTAAGTTTTTAAGCCCAAGGCAAAACATGCGGATTGAGGACCAACCATGGGATCAACCGTGTTGGGAGGTTAGGTCGACTAGGCATGAGCTCATAATATGTACCAAGGAGACTTAAGGTCAGTAAAAGGTTACTTAAAAGAAATGGAGGTCAAAGTCATTTTTCTATCTCGTAGTAGATCATGATATACAAAGCGGGAAGCTGTAAAGATGTTGCGTGAAAGTTGTTAGGAAGGTTATCATAAATGATTATTGTTTAGTTTGGGACACACTTGGTCCTATTCTAACACTTCTCTTGTAATAGTAATACATGAACACTTTAATAGCAATCAACAAATATTCTTGTCATATCTTTACATTATTTTGTTTTTATTCTTTATTTGGAATCGGTTAATACAGATGAAGGTTGAAGTTCAAATTCAAATTGTAACAGGATAATACAGAGATACAAATACCAAACACAATTAGCATAACTATTCCTATACAATAGGTAACTCAGGTAAAGTCACGTTTGACTACAACAACTTCTAATTTATTATATTCTATATTCTAATATATCTCACATACCCCCTCAAACACAAGGTTGGAGGGGACAACATTGAGCTTGCTTCGAAGAGTTGCGTAGCGGGCTGCTGGTAATGGCTTCGTGAAGACATCGGCCAACTGATCCTTCATAGATACAAAATTGACTTTGAGATCACCGGATGCAACCTTATCCCGGACGAAGTGGTAGTCAATTTCCACATGTTTAGTTCTAGCATGAAAGACGGGGTTGGCGCACATGTAAGTGGCACCAAGGTTGTCACACCAAAGTGTTGCAGGACACCTAGAATGAAGGCTGAGCTCGCGTAGTAGCGACACAATCCATGTTACTTCAGCGGAAACATCGGCTAGTCCCTTATACTCGGCTTCAGTTGAAGAATGAGCAACCGTGCGTTGCTTTTGGGATACCCAAGAAACCAAGTTCGAACCAATAAACACTACGTACCCGCTAGTGGATTTCCGGTCCACCGGACACCTGGCCCAGTCCGAGTCTGAATAGGCATGTATGTCACAGGAAGAAGAGGGTGATACGCGCAGACCATACGTTACCGTACCTTTTACATAGCGGAGAACACGTTTAAGTAGCCCCCAGTGCTCCTGAGTAGGAGCATGCATAAACTGGCACAAACGATTGGCCGCGTAGGACAGATCTGGTCGCGTGATAGTCAAGTACTGCAACGCACTAGCCTAGCGGCGATACTGCGTGGGATTATCAAACAGCTCGGTGGACGAGGAGACGTTAGTCTTAGACACAGCAAAACCTGTAGAAAGCAAAAAATCGTGAAGTCGTTTGAACTAGGCTCGGGGTGCCTGTTTCAACCCATACAGAGAACGCTGGAGGTGACACACGTGATCCGGGTGACCTGGATCTTCATATCCTGGTGGCTGCCGCATGAAGACGGTTTCAGCCAGACGCCCATTAAGAAAGGAGTTGTGGACATCGAGTTGACGTAAAGTCCATGCCTGTGAAATTGCAAAGGAAAACAACATGCGAACCGTAGTTGGTTTGACTACGGGACTGAACGTATCGAAGAAATCTTCCCCCACTACCTGGTTGAAACCCTTGGCCACCAGGCACGCTTTATAGTGCTCTATGGAGCTGTCTGCCTTGCGTTTCGTGCGGAAGACCCACTTGCACCCAACTATGTTCATGCTTGGCTTCGCCGGCATGAGCTTCCACGTGTCATTGTGTAGGAGGGCATTGAACTCCTGGTACATGGCGTCACGCCATTGTGGATGCCCTACCACTTGAGAGTAACAAGTTGGATCAGCAGGGACAGCGATTGCAGTTAAAGCATGTGCCGAAGCCGCATGACGTGAGTCCGCTCTAAAGGTTGAGCTCGAGTCGCACGCCTCCGAGTTGTGGTAGCCACAACGCCATTTTGGACAGCCTGTTGAGCAACAGTGGGCTCAGGTGGCTTAACTTGCAAAGACGAGCCTAAAGAAAAATGGAATACAGATTTGTCAAATCGAACATGGCGACAGATAAAGGTTTTTCCCGTATTTAGATCCATGCATCGGTAACCTCTAAAAGACGTGGGGTAGCCTAAGAAGACACATGTGGCTGGACAGAACTCTATCTTGTGTCGATTGTAAGGCCGTAGATACGGATAACAAAGGCACCCGAAGACTCGAAGGAAAGTGTATGTTTGGGGTGATTTATATAGACGGTAATATGGACTCTCGAATTGTAGCACAGAGGAGGGTAGGTGATTTATAAGATAGGTGGTTGTTTCAAAGGCAGAGTCCCAATATTTTAAGGGTATTGAGCCTTCAGCTATTAAAACTAAGCCGGTTTCAACAACATGTCGATTCTGGCGTTCTACCCGCTCGTTTTGCTCGTGTGTATAGGCACATGGTTGCATGTGCATAATACCGAGTGGCTCAGATATGTTATGCAAACGGTGGTATTCACCCCCTAAATCAGACCGTATAGATTTGATAGAACGTGAAAACAAACGTTCTACCATAGTGCGAAATAAATCAAACACTTTGTAAATGTCTGACTTTAAATGTAAGGGATAAAACCAACAATAACGTGAATAAACAAAATACCTAAAATCGTTCGCAAAAATAACCGGGGCAGGAGCCCAAATGTCCGTGTACAAGATATCCAAAACGTTATTACTTGAATAATTAACTCTATCTAAGGGGAAACAGGAGGATTTGCCAAGCTAACATGCCGAACATAACCCCGACAAACCAGATTTGTGGGCGGTGACTGGGCAGTTTTGTAAGACACGCTGGAGGACACGAGCATGTGGGTGACCCAATCTGCGATGCCACACCATGGGCGAGGTATGGGCGGAAATGAACGCTAAATGTGATCGGGGAACCGACAGCTTGTACAGACCACTTGAACTGAATCCCTTAAGAAGCACCCCCTTGGTGAGGCAGTCCTTCACAACAAAAAAAAATTGGGTGAAATTCAAAGAATACGTTATTTTCCTTTGTAAATCTTTGAACAGACAATAATGACACAGATAAGTCAGGCACATGGATAATATTAGACAAATTTAAAGACTTTGACATAGATAAAGACGGAATAGATGCATGGCCTATACGTGAAATAACCAAACCTGCACCATTGCCGACCCGAAGCACGTCACTGCCAGCGTATTCCTCCGATTCCGTCAACATAGCGGCGTCCAGCGTAACATGCGAGGAAGCCCCGGTGTCCGGATACCACGCGTCAGCCTCTGTCGTCGTTCCGCCATCTCCGGTGACCGCCACATGCGCCTGCGCCGGTGGTTGACTGGTATATCGCTTGAAGCAGTATACTGCCGTATGCCCATGCGACCGTTACCTCCGCGCCGGTTCCTGGAGTTGCTGTTCTACCCGCGACCATGAAGGTTGAAGTTCAAATTCAAATTGTAACAGGATAATACATAGATACAAATACCAAACACAATTAGCGTAACTATTCCTATACAATAGGTAACTCAGCTAAAGTCACGTTTGAGTACAACAACTTCTAATTTATTATATTCTATATTCTAATATATCTCACAATACAAACCTCATTTTAGGGTGTGTTTGATTAATGAGTTTACACATTAGGAATGATAATCAAAACATAGTTAGTGTTTGGTTGACAACTTTTTAAAACACAACTATGGGATTTGATTACCCATCGAATTAAAA